ATGAAGCAATGGTTTAGTGGGATGTGGGAAGAAGTGATGTGTGATGTGGGGAGATCAAAAACAAGTTATGCACTTCACCTCATTAGGAAATGTCATTTCTCCTTGGGATTTGAGGGAACTGAGTTGTTTGGAGATCTTTGTGGAAAGATGGGCTAGTAGCTGATAGTGGTTTTGCTGTAGGAAAAGAGGAAGGTTGTATATGTGTGTGAGTGAGATTATTATCTCATAATTCTGGGTTCATTGACCATCAGTGGTGTTAATATTGACCACTTTTAGCATTGGGAAAAAGGGAGGGAAGGCCAAGCTTTAAAAAAAAAAAAAGGAAAAATAATTGGAAACTAGTTACATGCAATTGAGCGCTTCATCTCCTGTCATATAATGTATCACAAAGCCCTTCTTTATGGATGTTGAGAGATTTATGGAAGGGAATGAGTTGGAAACAGAGGAGAAAGTTGCAGATTGTGAAGTCCACCATCTGAGGGAAGCTGGGTCTTCATCCCGCACTCCTGCCAGAGAGCAGGCTGCTACGTGTGAGTCAGATCTATTCTGGTAAGTCAGCCTGGATCAGATATGGGACAGAAAAAAGCTGCTCCTCCTGGAGCACAGTGTTATCTGGTGGGTACAGCTACATAAAAGAGATATAGCCATTCTGGTCAAGAGATATATTAACTCTTCATCTCCCTCTGCTTCATTTCATGGAATTTGTACAAGGGCTGTGCTCACTTCCCAGACAGCCTGCTTGTGAAGGAACTCAAGAAACCAGGGCAGTTGTTTCCTTTCCTGAGACAGAAAATGCCCTCTCTAAGTCTTACAGCCCAGGTTAGTCCAGGAGGCAGCAAATAGGAAAAAGTCTTGTGGACCTCTTCACTGTGTAGATGTGGAGACCTGCAGATGATAGATGTGGGCAAACAGGGTCATCAAGGTGTACCCCTGAAATCTGGGTCAGAAGCCACATCAGCATGAAGACCACAGGCAAGGTCAGGGCTTCCCTCTTGCTTACTTCCCCATTTCTGCTAGGCAGAGTGCTCTGAATTAAGGGAGAAATGGAATTTTTTGCTATTGGAGATATCCTACAAGCCAAACCAAAATAAAATGATACGAGGGGTTTAATAGAGAATAAGCTGCTGCACAGCTGCAGACTCCATCAATCATTACGTTCTTGGCTCTCATTTTGTAGTCAGACCTTCAAAGTCAGCTTTGGTTTATTTGACGTAATTACTATAATAGTACCCATCAGCTTGTTAATGTAGAAGGCTCAGGTATTTGGCATTCAGGTCAATATGTCATACATAGATATTCCCTGTATTTGCACAGTGTTTGTTAGTGTAATGGCTCAGGAATGGACTAATGTCATGAATAATTTCATCAGGGCAAGATTATTTAGATCTGCTCACCCCCAAACTCACATTATTTTTAAAAGCCATATTTAAATTCACAGGAAGCAGAGAAGAGTGCCCATGTGAAAGGCTGCCTCACAGCAATCTAGAGTTTTAAAGAAAGTAACCCTTTGAGAAGGTCTAACTTCATTTGTAATTTCTTTGTCTCCAGCTCAGTGGAGCACGAAAAAGATCCACTTCCTGTCTCAAACCCAAGTACATGGGTGAAAGCTAACTCAGAGAAAAGCAACAATAATAGTCTCACAGACTTGTGTGGTGAAAAGTGTGGTCATATCTCGGTGTCTACATTAACAATTCAATCCCTACCAAGAATTTAATATGCTAGTCAATGCTCATCTCGGGTTTATAGAGCTATGGAGAATTATAATGGGTCCATAAATACCCTTCCCCAAGTCACTGTTAAGACTCTTAATGGTTAGGAAAATATTTGAATTTTCTGTTTCAGGCCTTTGCCACTAGACTCATGTCATTTTTGTTTGCCTTTATAGATACAAATAAAAAAATCTGTGTAATTGTCACTAGCAAGAAACTTATATAATGAGAGTTCCTTTTCTCCAGAATCATTTCCATTTTGCCACAGAAATAATTTTTTTTTTTGCATAAACATTTGAGTGGGAGTTTTTTTGTTATTCTGGAAGAGACAACAATACCATTGCCTTTTCTATGCAAAGGAAAATCAGTCAAAGAAGAAGTTAAATGATTTATTGGTTTCTGTTAGAGTAGTGATGAAAGGTATATGCTGGCAGATGTGACCTTGGAGGCCAATGTTCTGGGCATGCTGGAGTCCCACAGGACAGAGGAATAGGACCAAGCATGAGAGAACAGGCTGTCTTTTGGGCTTTGGACTGTCTCGGATCACAGGCTGCCCTATGCCTGCAATGTGCTGTGCACACTAAAATGTGCTTAAATATCCCCGTGTTTCAGACTGCAGGGTAAGGTACCTTTGTAGTGCCTTGATTTATTCGGTATGAGTTATAAACCTGCTCCAGAACAATGCCTTGAAATTGAATTCACTTCCACTGGGAGGAGACAAGAAGTTGAAGAAGTACAGTCACCTATGTGTATTACAACTAGATATTAATTTATTTACACATTAATTTTTTGACTGAATTTCTCAATGAGTCTTTTTGGGCTGTCTCTGTTCCTTTGTAGGTGTGTCCGTCAGCTCAGAGCATGATCAGAGGAGTGTTGTTTAATAGTCTGTACACGTGAAATGATCAGAAACTTGGAGAGTGGTAAACAAGCAATAAGAAGTCAAGGTAAACACTTCACTGCCTTTTGAAGGGTCCTTATTGAAAACTAGCACGTAGGGTGAGAACTTTATCAAAGAGCAGATCATCACCATTAAACTTCAATTCAAAATATGATAGTGCTTCAGAGTTTTCAGCTCCTCTTAGCTGCATGTGTGACAAGATGATGGCTGTCTATTTTAAAGTGACTTGCAAGGCTTTTTTGAGATATTTGGGACTGAAAACTTTGGCAGAGTTTTCTTCTGATATGGACATGGTTACAAGGCTTCATAGTCTACCTTCCTTCAAGATTTATTTAATACCCTCACAATTACTTTAAATGGGCCAGGAAGAAGACTGAAGTAGGGGACGTGAAGACCTGCCCACTATGCACAGTCCTGGATGGGAGCCTGACAGATTCCAAATTTACAATAGTTTCATTGCATTTTCAATATGGAACAAAGGTACTTCTGTATTTTAATGTTTGGTTTTTTATAGATCTGATTCTAATTGTGTAAGGGGAAGTTTTATGATGTGGACATGTTACATTACCATTTATATAACACCAGACTAGTAGGAACTGTTAACCAGAATAATACAAACATAGTGAGCAAAGGGTAGAAAATGGGGTAAGGAACAGATACAGCCATAGTTGCCTGCTCTGCTTCAGAGAGCATGCAACTGTCCCAAATCTAAGGATCAAACAAAAATTTTTCACATTCACTGAGATTTTGTATAGGCTAAATTCACTCTAGGCTTAGATGCCCATCAGATTGCATCAGCTTTTTCCTCTCTGCTGCAACAGGAAACTTTGATTTGATTTCCAAGGGACTTGAGCTTGGGTTTCTTCTAAATTAAGTCGTTTGAGTATTAAGGTTACTGAAAACTGTGACTGAACTCTTCCAGGCTCCTCCATTCAATTTCATGCTTCCAATTTCTGTGTTTCTAATGGAAGGGGTGTTTACTACCAGGCATCTAGCTTGAACTGATTGGCAAGATGCTGAGAAATGTAAGTTGCAAAACATTTGATATGAATGATTTTTTTCTCCATCAAAAAGGTCTTATGTCAAATGTGAAGACGAATCTCTGCTTTTGCTCTTCCTAAGTACTGGATGTTAGACATTAAACATTGAACTGGAAATCCAATTACATGATTATTAATCAAATGCATTTTTTTCAACTTGGGGGAAAAAAGGCGAAATGAAACATGAAACTCCACTGGGAAACACTGCCAATTAAAGCAATTAAAAAAGGATGTGGAATTCTTAATTCTTACGCTTGGCTAGAAAGTTGATTGACTGGGCTTGACTCTCCTGGGAGTGGGTGTGCTGGGCAGTTTTTTATTTGCTTCTTGATATCAAATGCTTCTGTTTCCTTATGAGGAATAATTAATTTTCTTTGCAGGAAAATTTACTTATTATGATATGGGTAGCTGATCAAGTTTAAAATATTTGATCTGGTTAAGCAATGCCTGTCATTTAACATTTCCACTCAGAGAAGCACATATTCCTTTCACTTTTATTCTGCAGACAGACTTTCTGACAGCTGAAGTGTAGCCAGTAAATTTCTTTTCCATTAGTTGCAAATTGTACAACAATATACTAAAGTAATTACATCATAAATCTTCTTGCCTTGAAGTTAGGCTCTGCAGTACACACTCATAAAATAGTGCAGTAGCAAATAAAATCACTGCATCTGTGTATATTTATCTTGCAATAATTTTTCTGAGGGTGGTCTAAAACATTGACAAATGCAAATTGGGAGGAACTAGAAAGAATTCAGTGTTTTTTGGTTTGTATAAGAGGGGATCTATTAGAGGGTTTGTTTGTATAAGAGGGTTTGTGAAGAGGGGATCTTCAATAATTAGGGCTTCCTTGAAACTGCACATGGGTCAAAGTAAAGATTATTGCCAACTGTCCTTAGATGTGGATTATGAACTGAAGATAATATTCCCTGGATCATCTTGGGTGCGGTGAGTCTTTGTGAAGATCTGAGTCCAAGACAGACTGTGTGGAAGTACCTAAGGAGTCTACCCAATGTAGACAATGCTTCTAGGGTAAATCTAACCATTGCATGGCTCTAAAAGGCTTGTGTTTCTCTGATCTCAACAGGTGAGAATGTTTGTACTAAAAGAAGTAACTGCCAAAACATCTATTTTTCTGAGGTCCCTAGATAAGAACAGACAGGTACTGTACTCAGCACCTGAACGTGAACAGTCATCATTTAGCATTCAACACTGTATTGAAATCTGTGGCAATAAAATTAAGGCTTCTTGGCAGTTTTGTTCCCAAAGCCAAGGCCTGCCACGGAGATAAAACTGCCTGCAACCCTTCTGATACTCCTTGTGCAATAGGAAAGTTCCTTCCTTTTTCAGGAGAAGACGGCAGCAACAATCCTGTCCCATCCCATTTTCCTCTTCCAGGCGGGCTACCAGCTTCACAGGAAGTCATATATTGCTGAAGAGCTCTGGATCCACTTCTTCCATTGCCCAGGTGAGATAAGAACCCCAGGCTGGATTTATAGGAGAGCGTGTGAATTTTAATTTGCTACAGTGTGTACAGATCAGCAGTCAGAATGTGTGAGCTTTGCTCTCTCCCCAGAGCAATGTCAATGCAGTCACTCACTCCTCAAAATAAGGGTCAGCATTTATAGAGTTATTTCCAGGGTTATGTCCAGGTTATGTGTGGATCATTTCCAGGACCATCTACTTCTTGTGGTTTGGTGGCACAGAGGGAGAGGTGGATTCATGGTGATGATCAGGTTGCTGGAGAAAACACTGCAGGAAAAACTTATGCTGAAAAAAAAATAAAAATTGGGGCTTCTGATCCTGTATAACACTGCAGCCACAGACCTCTGCCAAGGATCACCCATGGCAGAAAGAGCCCAGACAACCCCCAAGTGAATGGGCTTTGCCATTCTGTGAATAATTACCCTCATATAGGCAGCAGCTTTAACTGAGTCTTGAAAGCTTGAAACAGGCATCTGACTGATTCATCTGGAAACTGGGGATGTTCAGGAGCACCGGAGAGATATTTTCCCTGCACATCAAGGCCCAGGAAGTACATTTGATTATATTCACTATATTTGGTGCGATTTGCTGCACTCAGATATTGAGCTGCAATTAGGTGTTTAGAGACTCATCATTAATCTTAACGCTGTGCTGCCTATCAGTCTCTTCCCTTACATAGCTTATGGCATTATTCTGAACATTTGATGAGGAAATATCCCTGCTTTGTAGTGGTTGCTGGTGGCAGGATTTCTGTGTGCATCTCTTGTCAATATCTAAATCTCTTTTATTCAAGGCTCTTTAGAGCACTTGTCTCTTAAATAATAATTATTATGTCTCTTGTCTGATTCAGAGATCTGATCCCTGCTGAGTTGGTGTCCTGACATTAGACCACTTCCAAAATTGCCTGTTCCTTGATATCTGAGCATATTCTTTGGTGAAATCTCTGATTTTTTTTCTAACTTTATGATTTCTTTTAACGTTCAGATTCATCTAAGTTATTTCCTTCTACTTTCCTCCTTCCTAAAATGGCTCAAATTCTTGTTGCTGTTATTATGTTTAAAATGTTTTGAAGTTGATTCTGCTCTGACTCGCCTTCCTGCTTTTCAGTTCATCTTTCATAAATATTGATAATAGGAAAATTGGAGACATTTAGTTGTGCTTGTGATGGGGAAAAGAACTTGTTAGAAAAGCCAACATGGGAATGGCAGTGGGGAACCTGTGCTCTTGAGGGAGCTCCCTTCCAACTCATAGAATAGTTTCATTTGGAAGGAATCTTAAAGATCACCTAGTTCCAAACCCCCTGCCATGGGCAGGGACACCTTCCATTAGACCAGGTCAGAATACTTAAATGTGGCTTTTGATTTTCAATGCTTTTAACTGATAAAAGAGACCAGTAACTGGACATACTTCTTCCTGCTTGCATCCTTCTCTCTGGAAGCTTTAATCTCATTTAACCCTGTTCTGATATGGACACATGGTGATATCTCCTACTAGGGAGAAAGACCTCAGTATGTCACAAGTAAAGCTGATCTTTATCCATGTTGTGCTCAGCCAGTGTGAAGAAATGACACTCTAGAGGTTTATGGGAAATGTTTTACATACATCTAATCATCCTGTTGTATTCTGTATCACAGGTGACACTCCTTTTGAAACGCCCAGGATAGTTTCAGGGCTACAAAACTGAGGATTGTTTTCAAGTACTAGTAAGAACAAATTCATTTTTCCTGCAGCTGATGAAATGAATGATGATGATGTATTTCTTACCAAAAGCACCTGTCATTTAAATTCCCACACTTCCCTGAGCTTTCAATAGTGTTCAAAGTCAACTTAACGCCTTTCCCCCTTCAGTTCATGAAGACTGACAACAGTGTTTAAATGGAGTCCAAAGAGTACCTCTAGGTATGTGTTATTTGGGTTAAGATCTGGACTGCTTTGTCAGAAGTTCAGTTTCCTGTAGAGTTCAGGCTTTATGGTAAGCTAGGTCAATTCTATGTAATTTTGGACATAACTTTTTCTAATAGCTCCTAGGAAAAAAGGCTTACTGGGCATGGAAGCTGGGAATTTTTGCTCTATGAAATTATGTTTTCTCTGTCTTGCTCTCTTTTTAAGTAATGCAGAGATATTAAACACAAAACTCAATTTGTTTTCTAGTTCCATGGTGGAATTCAACTAATTTAAAAAGTATGAAGCAAGTTTAGATTGGCCAGTTCTTAAAAAACCCGAAAAGACTAAGGTGTCACCTGAAATATTACTGGTGTTTATAATGCAGGTAAATAGATTTTGTACTGTCCAGTTGATTACCAAAGCTGGGAAAACCCACGGAAAAAGACTGGCTGTCTGGGAAAGGTAGAACTAACAGTTATAGGCAGAGGTTTTTCTAGTGTTGATTCACAGTCCCCAAAGAGTTGCCAGCCTTACCAGATGCTTTCAGAAGGTTATTCTATTTTTTCGTTGGCCCTTTTTACCCTCTTGATGTCATACTTTATGTCTCCTGGTGGTTCCTACAGGGATAATACAGAGACCTTCTGGTGGAAGGTGGCACTTTGGCAAGGATTGAGAGGGATGAAGTTGATTCATGCTAATAGACTCTAATAATTAATGGCATTAAGAGCTGGAATAAACACATTCATCCTTATTGTGCCTTGATCCAAAGGACCTACTTACCCATTTCTCATGTAAATCAACATGTCAGGACATTTCACAGAAGGATGGTTGTGGCAAGTACTGAGCATCATTCAGGAGGGAGATGCTGATTTTTCTAGAAGAGGCTTCCCTAACATTTTTGTTTGACTCTTGAAAATGACCATCCACTGCAAGGAATCCCAGGAAGACCACAGCTACTTGTTTCAATATAGTTTGTACAGTCTCATTCTCTGTGGGTGTGTATGTATGTCAGACTTCTGAGCGTATTAACCAATTTCAGCTAAATCAGATGAAGGGGCCCAGGACAGTAGAACTGGGCATAATTCAATTCCCATGAGATTTTTGGAACATAACATCTACAGATTGTGCCAAAGGAAAAACTAAGTACTCTGAGAAATTGTATTTGTTCCTTAGTTGTACATCACTTACAGAATAGTCTCAAAAGAAATGAGGAACCCACAGGACTTGTTTTTAAGCTGATATGATGGAGACTTAGAACTGTTTAAGCTTTGTGATATGGGCTGAAGTCTCTTTAGAGTGCTTCAAAGGTGTAACAATGCTACTTGTGAAATGACTTGAATCACAGCTTTTGTACACTGCCTACATTCTGTCTTATAAAAATCACAAAAATGAAGTAAAAAAGGAGAGTGGTCTCCACTGGAGACATATTTGTAGTGTCAGAAACTGAGTACAGGTAGAGCAAACCCCTCTATGCCACATTAAAATGAAATGCAGCACAGCCTAAGCAGGGTGAGTCACATCCTCAGTCCTCAGATTGCACTCAGGGAGATGTGTTGGTCAGTGAGCACCTCCAGCCTTTCTGCAGTCATTGTTATTTATGCAGCCTGTGCATGTAGGAGCTCAGTTGTGGTTGGTGATGCCACCAGCCTGGGCCTAGTACTGATCAGAAAAAACACAAACAGATTCCACCTCATGGAGATAATACATTCTACTGTATTTTTGTTTTCATTGTATATGCCACTGTTCTCTCATCTTTACTGTCTCCAGGGAGAAAAATAAAATATTAAATGTCTCATCTTTGGCAAGAGGGAGTAATTCAGAGAGATTTTCACCTCAGTACGAGCCTTCAGAGTTGGTTTTTTGATAGTAAATAGCAGCAGATACCTCACGGTTTGGAGAAAGACAGAGATTTCACATGCTGATTGGAAATTTAACTGAGAAAGCACAGGTGGATTTCAGAGGAGCCATGGAGTGAGTCTGGGGGGAATTAATCTAGTCTCCCTGTAGATACAGAGCAGGAATGGGTGAAATCCTGGGGCTGAGCTTTCCACTTACTCTTCCAAAGGCTGTGACATTTTGGTCTTTAGGAATCAAAAAGCAAACCAGGTGCCTAAATTGCAGCAAGCCTCCAATAATGGCTGCATGCTGGCAGCTTCCCATAGCAAATGGTGTCCTTATTTTGCTACAGAAAGTGCCTTAGCAAAGCTGTGGAGAGTGGCTGAGGGTTAGTGTGGCCCTCTGGCAGAACTGCAGGCTCGGACTATCTGAGGTGCACAAGGGGATCAGACAGAAGCAAGACTGAGGGAGCAAAATTTGCTCCTTCCACCTTCTTCATGACACAAGAACTGATTGATGAAAGCTCTGACATGCTGGGAGGGGCCTTTGCCTTCCCTCCCCCCAAGATGTTCCTCATAATTAGCTCAGTTGTTGCCTGTTGAGATCTGGAATTCCATCTGATGCTGAAAATGTTGAGGCATTTCTTATGTTCTTCAGTATAAGAAACCACAAGCAATAAATCTAACCATCAGCCATCTTTTATCATTATGCAGCATTATGAAAATCATTTCTCCATTTCGATAGGCCAGTGGTGCCATTGATTGCTCTATTCTCTGGCAGTTGGCGCCAGACTTATCCTTTAAACCACACAAAGATTATCTCGGTTTCCTTTCAGCTCTGTTGTTTCTTTCTTGTCATTCACTGCAAAAACGCAATTTGGACTACCTGGTTTTCTACTCTCAAGTATTCTATCAGGCTTATGTTTTTATAGGAACTCAAGACATTCTTTTGTTGTGGCAGTGAACAGCAGGGGTTCAAATGGCTAAGATGAAACATGAAAATCTCCTAAAAAATATCCCTCATTCTTCTCTACTGTAATGCTGGATCCTGCCCTAGACGTAAAGAAGACCAGAAAAGAGACCTTTCCTATTTGCTGGAGGTTTCAGGGATCTCGCAGCAGAGTCCCTGGGGCTTTGTTGTGGTTAAGCAAACGTATTTACTGCCAGAAGGCAATAAAATTAAAAAAGTCCATAGCAAATAGTGTCAACCGTTTATCATATTTGAGGCCTACAAAGCAACTACAACTGAAATTATCTCTAAGCA